TAAAACACATAACAGATACGCAAGGTACTGATAAACTAGTGGCCCTCAAAAAGTAAAAAAAATGTTATAAATTAATAGATATAAATAAATAAATCTATATATATATGAATATAATATTAAAAAATTTAAAAAAAAGTACACGCGCGTCTCATTCCTGGGGTCTCTGGTTTGATTCCTGGACACTGCATCAAATGTGAGTAGAGTTTGTTAGGTCTCTCCCTGGATTCAAGGTTTTTTTCCAGTTCTTCGTTTATCCTCCCTCCACAAAACCCAATTCTAAATTCAAATTCGACCTACCGTGCCTTGGCTTAGTCTTCCCTTACCTCAATAAATTATCAACTGTTTGTACATACAGCGGAAGCGAATCAACAAGGAGGAAGAACTTCTTGGTCAAGAGAATCGAAGTCYCTTCCCGCAAATCCAGGAGATCATCGACGCTAAAGAACCATTCGACAAGTTATGGCGCGCGGTTGTCAAGTTTCATACTCGACAAGAGCAATGGCTGGCTGGCTCGTTACTGCAGTTGAACGCTGAGGAAATCGAGGAAGAGGTATGTAGAAAAATCTAAAGGAATATTTTTACCAAGATTACTCACTCCGTCTCTCTTTGCTTTGGGCACGTTTCTTGTTTTTCTTTTTCTTTTGCGGGCTGTCTGTGGCGTGTAGACAAATGTGATGGTGTGATCCCTCTGCCATAATAACACATGCAGGGGTTTCAAGCGGAAATTTAAAAAAAAAGAAATAATAATAATAATTAAAATAATAATAAAATAAAAAAAATAATAAAGAATTTGCGCACTGTATTTCTTACCACGCAAAGTGACCGAGGAAGACTGAAACAGGGATCCCAAGCGCCAAAAAGTAACTGCGGAGAAGGCTACGTTTCTTCGTTGTTTATTCTGTTTAGAAATTTCCCAGATAAAAGCAATTTCTCACTGCCCATACCCAAGGCTGCGCACTATTAAACCGAGTCGTGTTTCTCTTCAAAAAATATTTGTATTTGTAATTTTAGGTGTCTGAGTTATGGCGCACAAGTTACAAACTGACCAAAGAGTTCGCCCACCCTGAGTTCCGTGGTCCTTTGCGCGTCGCGTCTACCATCAAAGCGAGGCTAGAGAACTTTAAGATCAACATGCCTCTCATCAGCGCGCTGTGTACTCCAGGAATCAAGACTAGACATTGGGATATGATGAGTGTGAAGGTAAGCCTCTTGGAGAAATGCGCACAGTAATGCTGTGCCTGTACAATGCTTGATATAAATTTAATCTGTGTACGCAGAAAAGATTGTGTAATATAGCAGTTTTCGTATGACTGTGAAAAGCTCACGGCACGAATACGGTCGTGACACGGCAGGCCAGGCCAATCTCATTCCTCGATTATTTACTCTCCATCCAATCAAATACCCGAAAAACGGCATAAACAGGCGCGGACACGGTCACGCCAAGGTCACGGCRCTGCCTGCTAATCACATTGCGCGAGAAAACGGTACGGCACGGCACGCTTACGGCACCGAGCTTTTCACAGTCATACGAAAACACTAGTCATCCCGTTATGCATTATGGGATATCTTCCTGGCAGAAATTGGTGTTGTTTTGGTGGATGGAAATCCATGCGAATTCCAAACCTAGACGCGCAATTTGCTGTTTCACGAGATCAAAATTACTTGTCGCTTTTATTATCTCTTGTCAAAACGAGAGAAATAACTCCAACGACAACCAAATGGTATTTTTGGAGGGGAAACGTTTCTTGAATGAGTTTTGCTATTATCGTTTTTTTCTGTTTGCGCTCGCCAAGACTAAGAGAAATTAAGTCATGCATTTCGCAGCATTCTTAAATAAATTACAAGCTTTTTCTGTTTTATTTTTTATTTATTCCAATTTTTAAAAAAAACCACCCAATTTAGCCTAAGGCTAGTTTAAATGGAGTCCTGTTTAATATACATATGAAGCTACTGTTACAGTTGTGTATCTTGTTTGTGTTGTCAGGTTGGGTTCAACATAACGCCCAAAGAAGACACAACACTTAACGAAATGCTTGCGCTTGGACTGGACAAGTTCGTCGAGGATCTGGCAGCCATTAGTGGGAGAGCAGCCAAGGAGTTCTCTCTTGAAAAAGTATGGCTTACTTAATTCAAGTGTATTCTTGCACGCAGGATTCATTTGAGTTAAGGTTCCGTATCCACTACGTTTAATATTATTTTATGTTATTGCCAAGCTTTCAGCCATATTGGCCATCTTCAGGGCTACATGCAATGACTTACGACTGCAAATAAAATTACCACAAACGTAGTGGATATGAAACCCTGATTGAAATGCTTACTTGTTTCGTATTCGGAACGCACTCGATACTTCTGCAGCTAACAATTATTTTGCTCTTGTTTAAATGAAATGAGCTAGGACGTCCAGCAAATATAACGTAATTCGGTTTCACTGACCATAGAACCTTAATTTGCGCTTATATTCATGGAGACTGTGCGCTTTAACCTCAGTCCCCTACTCTCCCCTCCCCTCTCCTCATAATACAGGCTCAACAAGTTCGTGGACACCTTTGGTGCGCACAACAATACACTCGCTGCACCCCTACAATCTATAGTGCATATATTCCAGGACTGGACCCAATTTTGCTCCCCAACTGATTAGCTTATATCTCAAATAAAGGAAATACCGCGCGCGCAAATAAAAATGAGAAAATTAGGTCCAGTTCTGGACTATAATGCATATAGCCTTTTTATGTTTAATGTCATCCCAGGGAAGAAATACAGTCGAATTGTTTCTGGGCGGATGTGCAGTGATAAAATATTCCTTGCGTGTTTTTTCCCCAGGCTTTAGATAAGATGCAACAGGAGTGGAGAGGAATAGAGTTCACATTTGTTGAATACAAAGACACAGAAATAAGTATTCTCTCTGCTGTTGATGATCTACAGGTAGGTGACGGTCACAGCAATGTTGTTTTATCCATCTACTGTGAATACTGTAAAGCATATTACGTCATAGCCGCCATGTTGGTTGACGATAATAAAGCATTCTTCATTAGCTTCTCTTGTTAGATCAACCAACATGGCGGTTGTTTCATCGTTATTGATATCTCAAGGGATTTTGAGTCACATGGTTGCACACACTGTATTGGGATTCTTATCTTTTTTTATTTCAGGTTCTTCTTGATGATCATATTGTCAAGACGCAGACGATGAAAGGATCACCGTTCATTGGTCCATTCGAAACAGAAATCAAGGAATGGGAGATCAAACTAGTGAGTCAAATGTTCAATAATAATCACGAATCATTGTTTCGTAGCGTTGCGTCGAGTTTTATAATGCGTGACGATATGCTGCGCTAAGTTAAATTGCGCAATGTTGCGTAATTTCATGACGTATTGTTTCGTTCTGTTATGTTGCATTTGTCTAATTGTTACGTCGCGTTATGTTATTTTGCAATACATTATGATGCGCTGCGTGATGTTGCGTTGCGTTATGTTGCGTCACATCATGATGCGTTATGTTTTGTTAGGTTACTCTTGCTATTAGTCACTATCATTACGTACCGTTACCTYATACTACACTACGTTACGTTAAATAAAAACGTTTTCTAATCYTTTCATAGAATCTCATGCAAGACATTGTAGAATCCTGGCTCAAGGTAAGTCGAAAATTTTCCACCTGAAATTTTCCAGTTTTGCTTTACATTTATATCCTTTTCTGGTTTGTATAATATCTGCGTACTTATTTCTTCAAGGTTCAAGCATCCTGGCTGTACCTAGAGCCAATCTTCTCGTCTGAAGACATCCAGGCGCAGATGCCACAAGAGGGAGAGAAATTCAGAACAGTCGATAAACACTGGTAAGATGTACTGTTYATATTCAGTAACTCATACCTTTATGAAGTAAATCAAGGGTTGTGTAACGGTAGTGCACTCGCCTCTCACCTTTGCCTTTGGTCTCTCCCTTGATTCGAAAGTTTCCCTCTTTTCGCAAAACCTAACAAGATAAATTCTAATTTGATCTGTGAGTTAGCCATGCCCTGACCTAGATCAGCCCAGAGGTTGTTTCAGGGTTCAACCTGTGAGTTAGCCGAGCCCTGACTTAGATCAGCCCAGATGATGTTTCAGGGTTCGATCTGTGAGTTAACCATGCACTAACTTAGTTCAGCCCAAAGGTYGGTTCAGGGTTCGATCTGTGGGTTAACCATGCACTGACTTAGATCAGCTCAGAGGTTATAGTTTCAGGATATCAAATAAAATTTAAAAAGTTAACTAGTTAAAAAGTTAAAAAGTTTTTCTGTAACTTCTCTTTACTGGAATCAAGCTCTTTCCTTGATTGCGTCACCTCACCTGCTTTTACCGGCTTTCCAGTATTCCTGAGTGAAGGAAATAACAAAATATGTGGCCGCCATATTGGTGATATATGTCCTAAGAAACCCCCAAAAAATTTCGTTTAACTTGACCAATTTTGCGGCTATGAAAAACGTAGCAACGAGTTGATTGTTTCTGTTCTTGTTTATTCATTGCAGGAGGAAAATCATGACAGAAGCTGTAAAGAATCCAAACGCACTGGTTGTGACTTCCCAAGATCAAATGCTTGAAACACTCCAACACTCTGAGGTAAAGTAAAACCAACTCTTTACCCTGGGCGTAATGTTTTTCCATTTCAAWGCACCCGTCATTCTCTAGAGTATTGTTTCTTTGTTTAATGGCTGCGCACGAAAGCACTTGAATATTAATATAACTTAAATAAAGAATCTTACTCTCAAGAGTAAGATGTTGCTCAAGGTCTCAATTATCAGTATGCACTCACACTTCATATAATAATATAACTTTAATACTTATATGGCGCTAATTCGCATGTGAATATGATCAAATGAATCATTGTCTAATTCTCTTCATTTTTGTAGGGTCTACTGGAAGACATTCAGAAGGGACTGAATGAATACCTGGAGAAGAAGCGCTTGTTTTTCCCAAGGTGAGAGTTTGGTCTTCAGTAACTTACATAATCTGTGCACCTGTGTAGATGTGATACTTTTCCTTGCTGTTATGTGATTGGCTGTTGCGCGCATTTAAAATTGTGTCTTAGAAGGAAGCCATTTCAAAGTCACTGTCGATTGTGATTGGCTGTTGCGCGCATTTAAACT